CTACATAGCCTGATCAGAAAATAAAAGCATGACACTACCGAGAAAATCTATGGTTAATTTATAATTGGAAATGGTCTCATGACTTCCGAAGAAACTGATGTGGTGATACTGACAATGTAGTTCTGTGCAACGCTTTCTTTAATGGGATGGTTTCCCTCTTCCCCTCTCTTCCACGGGCTTTTGGTTCTGCCCTCTTCCACAGCTCGCTACCAGTGTCTCTGTCTCTAATGCTATTTTCTAAACTGGATTAAATAAATGATCTGGTAAAAGAAGACAAAAACCCAATAAAACCCTAAACAAGCCCAAATCCTTCCAAAACAAAACAAGAATTGCTAGAGACAGAACAAGCAGCTGAGGACACAGGTGGGCAGGGAGTATTGGCTTCGCTGTTAGAAAAAATCTATAGGGAGCCACACATCTGAGGGGCAGTTTCATATTACAAGTGCTCACAAACATTAGATGAACCATAGGGCAGAACTGGTGACAAACTACCTCAGTCTGGACCAAATAGGACAAAATATGAACCTCATAAAATGCCCTAGTATTTATCTAGCATCGTTTAAAAGTTATCATCTAACTGGAGGACAGACCTCCAAGAGGTGTATATAGACACTTGATAATTATGATATTCACTCTGCCAGCCCCTTGCACTATTTATTAATTTAGTAGTTGTTCATAGGCGGTATCCTTCATGCTTACAGTAAAAATACAGAGGGATAGAAAATCCAGTCCGGTAAGAACCCTGTATCCGAAACAAAATGTCCCAGATTTTCTAGCATGAGCAAGTGCTTTCTACAGACCCAAAACAACATACCACTGTCACTGTAGCTAAATGCCATTTAATTGGCAGCTAGAAAAGTCTGTAATACATTTCTTCATGGAAAAATGTTTGAGCTCCTCCAGTTTGCCAAGATGCTAATTAAAAACAGACGGCATGTTATAAAATCCTTTCCTTGACCTGTGCTATCTTACATTGCCCTTCTGTACTTTTTTCATGGCATTGGCTCCCTGCAGAATTATTCTAATCTTTATAAACTTGTATTTAATTTTCCTTGTTATTTTGTGGGCAGAAAAAAGTAACTAAATGTTATTTATTTAAATGTACATAGGAAATTTGTTTGTTACATGGCAGAGATAACAGGCTTTTGAGGAGAGAATCTTTACTCATTGAAAGAAGGTTTCTATGTCCTGAATAATTCACAATGAAAGAAATCTTAGTGCCACTGAAGTCACTGAAATAGTTCAAGTAAAAGCCTCGCTGGAGTGCCACTGACATAATGAATTGCACAATGAGAAGGATGTGCCTCATCAAACGCATATTATTGTTTCATCTTTGCTAATCAAAATGCTTTACAAAGCTGGGATTTGGATCAGCACTGAAACATTTTAAGGGGTCCTTGGTGATCGCTCCACAAGTGTATTTTACTGACGTTTTTATTGTTCTTAACAATTGAAGAAATTTGGAAAAATACCTCATTTTGGTAAGAGTTAATCCCTTTTACCTCAAGCAAATGCTAGATCTGCCTGACACCCCACCCTACGGTGGGCACACTGCCACTGCACAAAGCCCAGCCCAGACTCTCCGTCAGATAAGATCCCACACCAAGCTGAACTCCCTGGTCCTTTTTCCTTACGAACCACATCCTCCTGCAGAGGAGACTTTGGAGGGCCGAAGAAGTCCGTCACATCTGTTTGCTCATATGCCAACATGCTATTTACTCAGTACAGCTTTAAGAAAGGATTTGCTCTTTTGGCTGTTGGCTCTCTCCCTCTGCAGTGGGAGAGCAAAACCAACACAACATCGTTATCTAAGAACTGGCTGTAGTTTTAAATGTAATTTTTGTAGCAACAGAGATACATGTTTTAGTTATGACTGCTCAGAAGCTAAAGGATTTTCCCCACCTTGAGTATGATAACATTCACATTTTGAGCTTACAATGCTTCCTATAGATCACTTTTCTAAGACAACAATCCAAATTCCAGACAGCTGACTTTCTTTTAGACACCGATCACTTTTAGGCATCTGCAAGTTTCCACTGTTGCTGCCCTTGTGATTTAGGCAAAGAGTCATTAAAACTGGAGGGCCTAATTCCCAGCCTCAGTATAATACATCAGTAAGAAGTAATAAGCTCCTTCATGAAGCAATATAGCTCCCCAGCTAAATAAATGGCACACACTACTGATTAAACAAAGGCACATGTGGCTTTTTTTCCTAAGCATTTTTTGAAGCAAACGGATGAATATATAAGAGAAAAAGAGAAGGATGAGAAACCAGGAGTGGGAACTCAGAGAGCAGTAGAGACATCACAGAAACCGAGATCTTGGACCCCGGGCATTGGAAAGGGGGACCTGAAAAACATCCCTAGAGAACTTCTTGGAGCAAGTATTGGCTGAAAAGAGCTTGGAGCTGCAAATAGTCTCCTGCTGTTCAATTTGCTCTTCACTCAGGGAAATGAACGCTATACATTCATTGCAAATAAAGACTGAATCAGAGATACCCGATTCCATTAACAATTTATTTTCCTAAACAGAACAATCTGAAATAATGACTTTTCAATAACTGCTCAGGTCAGAAGTAGTAATAATGCTCTGCTCCCCCTCAGGGAGGCAGATCTCCCTTCATATACACATTAATATACCTTAAGATCTCCCTCTCTCAAGATCTATGTATAGCTTCTATTCACAGGCAAGCACCACAACCACTTATTCATTCTTTTCATGCTTTACCTGCTGTTTTCAAGGCTGGTCTGATGCTAAAAATAGCTTCGCGTATTAGAGGAGGGTTGCTATAGATTCAGAATGGGTGATGTTAGGAAGACAGCTAAATCCCTCTTTGCTGAGGACATGGAGGATCCGCGT